CTTTGAGTTTATCCTACTTACAATTCATTGAGCTTCATGGATATTTACATTCACATAAACTTGAGAATTTATGGCCATTATTCTTCAAATAATCTCTCTGCCCTTTCTTCTCTCTCCTCCTCCTCTGGAACTTTCCTAGTAAATTTGCTGATTTGCCCAAAGATGTCCCACATGTCCCTTAGGCTCTGTGCAAGTCATTCATTTTTTTTTCTTTTGGTTCCTTAAACTTGATACATTTAATTGTCTTATATTCAAGTTCACTGATTCTTTGTTCTGCTTGCTCAAATCTGCCTTTGAATCCCTCCGGTGAAGTTTTCATTTTATAATTTTCAGCTTTAGAATTTCTTTTCCATTTCTTTTAAATTTTTTTATTACTTTGCTATAACTTCCACTTTGATTGTATGTCATCTTCTTGATTTTCTATCTTCTGTTGCTTTGTTAGACAGTTGTTTTAAAAATCTTTATGTAGTAGGTCCTCCTTCGGACCTTCCTGAGGAACAGTTTCTGTTGGTTTATTTTTGTCTTTGAAGGGTCTATACTTTCTTATTTTTTTCTATGCCTTATGATTTATTTTTGTTGAAAAGTAGATATTTGTACGGTAACTATTAATACGGTAACTCTGGAAGTTAGATTATCCCCTCTCACCAAGGCTCACTGTGTTTTTCAGTACTGGGGATTACACTCAAGGCATTTTTACTGAGCTACATCCCCAGCTCTTTTTAATTTTTGCAGGGTCTTGCTAAGTTGCCCAGGCTAGGCTTGAACTTGCGATGCTCCTGCCTCAGTCTCCCAGAGTGTTGGGATCACAGGCATGTACCACCACACCTGGCTTTCATTTCTGATATTGTAGGCTGTCTCCATATGAAGAATCATTCTGAAGACTAAGGTCTTCTCAGGGCTTTGCTAAGCCTGTGCCTTTCCTGGTGACTTTTTAATTTCACCCATGTATATGGTTGCTTTTGAATGTCCTAGACGCTAATGTATGGTCCCCAAAACAAGAAAAAAAAAGACAAAGTAATGGGTATAAAGAAAAAGTGTCCATCCTTTAAATTCTCTGGTAGTGTCTTCAGCTGGAAGGGGAGGAGTTTACAAGTGTGTGTGGGGTGTCTGTGTGAAACAATGGTTTCCCACCTGTGTATATCTCGAGATCAGAAAAAGCAATCAGAACATTTGGAGAACAAGGACTTTTCTGCCCACCCTGGCTCCTGTAAGTTGCACCATGAGACTTGGGTGGGGTGGGAAGAAAGGTAGCTACTACTGCTCCTGGGGTAAGAGGTGAAATTCACTGGAATTATCTGCAGTTTGCTGTCCAAGATCTCCATGTTGTCTAGGTGAGAAGACAGATTCTTGGTGCTTCCCATCTCACCATTTTTCCAGAATCCTCTGGTAAAACAGTCTGTGATAACTCATTCATTATCTCAGGTATGTATAGTTGGGGCCCTGACATAACAGCATGTGGTACCACATAAACCAGAAACTAGCACTGATGCTGTTTTTCTTATAACCATGACATAAGGGCCTAGGAATTAATGAATTGAAATGGAAGTAGCTCCTCTTACAATGATATCTACTAATCCACTTGCAAATTTTTTGCTTCTCATTTCTGCAACTTTGAATACTTCTGATTTAGACGTCTTAGTTTCCAAGGGAGGAGTTCCCAGGGGCCACAAAAATAGTTTCACTGAACTAAAAATTGAGATTGCTATTGGATGTCTGGGTTTCTAATTTCACTAAACCAATGGATATGCAAAGAGGGGTTTACTTTATTTGCAGGATAATTGATACTGATTATCACAAGTAAATATAATGATTGCTATACCCTGAGGACAACCAAGAATATCTTTGGAACTCAAGGAATTATTATCTGGTGTTTCTCATAGAAATTCTATGTCCTTTAGCAAAAGTTTCTAGAAAACCTTAACAACTCACATAAAAACAGGGCTTTTGAAAACTCAGACCCTGCAAGAGTGAAGGTTTAGGATACCACACCAGTTAAAGAACCCCAACCAGCTGAGGTGCTTATGAAGGCAAAGGCATGTTAAATGAGTAATGAGTGATGGAAGAAAGAATTGTAAATGTCCAATATGGCTTCCTGATCAAGTAACAAAAGATAGTTTTAGCAACTATGAATATCTTCATGTGCATTTTCTTCCTTATTTGTGTTTGTGTGTGTGCATGAGAATGTGCACTGTGCATGTAAATTGCTAGTGGCAAGTGACTTTACAACTTAGGGTTTTTTTGGTCTTTTTTTTGCAGTGCTGGGGATTGAACCCAGGTCCTTGTACATTCTAGGTAAACATTACCATTGAGCTATATCCCTAGCCCTACAAGTTAGTTTTTAGATTATAAAACATCCATGAATTTATTTAAAAGAGAAAATAATATTATCCCAAGATGGATACAGTAACTAAGAGAATGGTCTCACCCATTTTTAGAGGAAAATGAAAGAGGAGTTCTCTCATGCTAGGTGGAAGCATGTTGTGATTGCTACTGTTGTATAGAAATTGAATACTGAGAAGAGGAGAGATGTTGGGGTCCCTAGGATTAAATGGTGGCAGTCACCTACCTAGTGCTCTCAGCCTTTATTCCTTCCCCTTCTGCTCTGCTATGTATGATGGGGGGCTTAACTATACTTTCCAGACTGACTTTCCAACTGGCTTCCAGTTATGTACTGCCAGTAGAAGGGACTGGTGAGAGACTGGCAGGCAGAGCAGGGGAGAAGCAACTCTCTTGTCTGGCTTCTGATAGCATTTCTGGCAACAGCAGCAATGTTAGTACTGACTGTGATGACGATGGTGACAGAGGTTAAAGCAGCATATCTTCAGCAGATCAATTATAGTGATAATCTCTCTGAAAGCGCAGCAGCAGGTTTAGACTTGGGCTCCAGTCCAGCAGTGCTGGCAGCTTCTGATCTCTGGGTATCAATTCTTCCTTTTCATTCTTCTTCCATTCTCCATTTGCTCTCCCAGTCCTTCTAACACTTAAGTAACCAACTTCCTCTGTTTACTATTGGTGATACTTTAAGTGGAGTGAAGTTTCACTGTATGGGATTTTTAAAAGAGCCTTTTCCTTTTTGAGCCATGCAATGAAATATTTACAGATGAAATTATATGAATCTACTGATTGACTTATGACTGGATTCCATCTGAGATTTTTCTTAAGACTAATCTAGAGTGGGGTGTGATGAGGGCATAGATGAAATAGGATTGGCCATGACTTTGTGATTGGCAGGTGATAATCACTCGGTGATAGGTACATGGGAGTTCATTTTACTATTAACTCTACTTTTATATATATATTTAAATTTCCTTAGTAAAATACCAATTATTATTTCTTTCCACTAAGAATAAGTGAATCCCATTCACTTGCAATACTGTACCTTGAGTATCTTTTGTATTCCTGATTTAAATTCTGACTTATTTGTGTCTTGTCCTGGAGAAAGCCTGCCTAAGAATGAGGCTAACACGAAAGAAAACAAAGATGTCTGCATGTGGGTGAGAGAGCAAGTGGGAGGCATATGCCTATAATCACAATAATCTGGGAAGCTGAGTCAGGAAGACGGCAAGTTTGAGTCCCACTAGCACAACTTAGCTTTTGAGCCTGTCTCAAAATTTTTAAAAAAATTTAAAGGGGCTGGTCATGTAGCTTAGTGAAAAGGCCCTAGGTTCAATCCCCAGTACCTAAAAAAAGAGAAGTTGCACACCTGACCAGAAAGTAGAGATGGACACAGAGCACTGACAATATCCAGTGCACCTGGATCCAGCTAAATGAATCACTTTAGGACTTCTTAGCCACTAGCCAATAAATTCTCTTTTTGTTTAAGCTAGTTTGAACCGGGCTTGTGTTACTTCCAAATAAAAGAATCCTAATAATTAAATTCTGGATATAATAATCATTACACCCTTCAAGCAACTAATGAACCACCATCTTCACTATCATCTCTATCATATTTTCCATCATGGCAACACACATCATTACCATGACTTTCACCATTACCAACTCTAAGTTAGCCAACATTCACTGACTACGTACTGTGTACAAAGCGCTGGATCCTCATCTACCAGTAGGAGCTTCAGGTCAGAGCACTCTGCCTTGAAGGTGCTCATAACCTACTTTGGGGAGCTATATACACCACCCATCCATCTACCCACTATAAAGGTACATGTTTCTGAGGCATAAGACATAACAGAACATGCTAAGTGAGGAAACATTAAATTCATTGATGTTTAGAGAAGAAAGGAAGGGGCCTGAGCTAAAGCAGTTGAAGAAAGCTTCTGGTGGGAAAAGCAGGAAAGAGGCTGAGCTGGACCCTGGAATATTTACATTCCAGAGGAGATGATGCTCAGGAGTGTGGCCTCTGGAGTCAGACAAACTTGATTCAAGTCTTGGCTCTGCCACTGACTAGCTTTGTAACTTTGAGGAAATTATGTAATTGTCTGTGCTTTAATTTCTTTTTGTAAAAAATAGGGATAATAGGACACTAGGATATCTACTTCACAGAGCTTTTGTGAAGATCACATGAGTTAACATACATGAAGTGTTGAGGTAATGTCTGGCACAGGTAAGCGCTGCATATGTGTTATTAAGAGAAGGACCAATGCATGCTAGCCAGAAGGAATGGCCTCAACAAAGGTAAAGAGGAGGAACGTACGAAACTTATTTAGAAACCAGTAAACAGACTTACTGAGCTGGAGCAGAGGGATCATGGAGAGGAATCATCTGGCAAGAGCAATATCTACAATTTACAAATGACCAATCCAAGGCAGGAAAAGCAACTTGCCAAACACCTGGTCCTCTTTTAACAGCACACAGGAAAGCGGGGGAACCTATCTGAGGCCTTTCCAGGGAGCGTCACTAGGTAGCATTCCCTGCTTTGAGCCCTCATTGCCTGAGTGTAGTGACACACCCAAAGCTGCTCTGGATTATGTCCTTGGATACTTGTACTCAAACAAAGGCTCCTGAGGGAACACATAGGACAGACTTGAGGATTTAGAACTTACTGTTCTGTGACAGCCAAATTGGGTGGTAGGAATGTGAGCCCATTGCCTGTGAGGAGCAGGACGCGGAGGTGTGGCAGAATCTCCAGGTCATAGATGGCCTCTGCAGTCAGGCTGTTGAAGGAAAGGTCCAAGAACTACCATGAGAAGAAAAAAGATGGGGTAACAGAAGTACTATGTGTGACTACGTGCTTGCTTCAGCAGCACATACACTATATGTGACTAGGACATTTCTCCATGAAGTAGGGGCTAGCTGCATTTTCCCCTTAACTTTCTAGAAATCTCCATTACCCACAGGATAAAACACTCTCTGGATTAACATTTCAAGGCCTACTAGAGTCAGTTCCCAACCTATTTTCCAGCCTTAGCTGCCACAGCAAATCTGATTATCTTGTGATGCTGGCCAAACTGACTCCTCTCCACTCGTTGCCTCCTCCCACCTCTCATTCCCTGACGTGCTTTATACTCAAACATCCAAATCCCACTTCCCAAAGGACAACTCAAAGCTCCCCAGTACCCATGCTGGGGATTGAATCCAAGGCCTTCACAGTAAGCTACATCCCCAGTGCTTTTTATTTCTTGAGATAGGTTTCACTAAGTTGCCCAGGATGGCCTTGAATTTGTGGCCTCCTTGCCTTAGTTTCCCAAGTAGTTGCAATTATAGGAAAGATGTCATCTTATAAAAACCTTTCTCAATTCTCCAGCCAGATGGAATCCCTTGTTCCCCTGCCTTTGAATGCTTTACCTAAACTGCTCTAAGGGTACTTATCAAACTCTGCCAGGTATCTGAGATAGCTGAATACATGAATGAGGTATAGGGATATTGGTATGTGGATGTGGTTTGTAAAATGTTTGGCATACACTTAGATCATAAACCTTTTGAGGTCAAGGACCATGCCACTGTACCCTATCATTGTAAGCTAGCACAGGGAGGCACAAAGTAGGTACACAAAAAGTGGGCTGAAATAAACTGGCTTATAAGGATAATGACCCCAAATGGTCACTCCATCATTAACCACCCTCAACTGGCCACCCAGACTCATAAAAATTGACTAGGGTCAAGAGACCAGATAGAGAACTGAGCTTGTCTCTGCAAAGACAAAGGCAATTGGATAAAATGAATCTGCACAATCTCTGCTCTTGCTCTCCTGAGCCTCTCTAGTCCCTCCCATTGGCTCTTCTATACAACTGGCTTCCTTCCCTACTTCCATTCCTATTTTGTGTGTGCTTTCCCTGCACTCACCTCCAACACAAGCCTATTGATTGAGGTTAGTTTCAGGGTCTTATCCAGCTGGAGTGGGAGTAAGGAGGTCTTTGGGGAACCTCATCAGTGTCACACAGTCACTCAGGCACATACACACTGCAAATCCCTGTCAGAGAAGGACTGGTTTTGGTCTGACTCTGAGTTATTACCGATGGGCTCTAAAGTCCTCAGTTTAAGTCATGGCACTCTGAGTAATTTGAGTAAATTACTTAACCTGGGTTTTCTTATCTATAAAGTGGAAAAAAGTTATTCTTATGTGGAAAAGCCATTAGCCTTTAATCTGGTACATAATAAATGCTTAACTAATATTGGTTCTCACCATCATCATCACTAACCTTATGCTGAAGGCTTACTTTGTTCCAGTCCCTGCCCTCTGGAAGCTCCTAGGCTTTCTTGGAAAGCTAGATACATACATGTCTGTTAAGTAGCAGTCCTGCTGAGATAGGACACAGACCCATAAGACACAAAGGAAGGAATGGTCAGGGGGCCAGGACAGGCTTCACAGAGCAGGTGACATCTGAGCTGTCCTCAGAGACTAGTAGGTATTCACCAAATTGTTAAGGGAGACACTGAGGTGAGCAGGTGGCATGAAGCAGAAGGCAGCTTTGCTTGTTGCAAGAGTTGAAAATAGTCTGGGTATGACTGAAGCCCATTGTATAAGAAGCTTGATAAGACTGGCAAGGCCATGAAGGGTGTGAAGCACCAAAGGAGTGCCAAGTTCATGCTGCCACCAGAAAATTGAGGGTTTGAGGGTTCACACAAGGAGCAATCTGACTTGGCTGGAGCAAAGAAGCGAGGAAGGCCTGGAAGGCTGGCTTGGATACGTACAAGTAAAAGTGGAGACATTTTTCTCCCTCATGCTTGCATGTGAACAGTCATCAAGAGGTGTAGATTTTATCTACTTCCTTAATATCTCTCATATATCTTTTTCTCTCCAATTCTTTCTTCACGGAGCTGCCAGAATGACATTCCTAAAATACAGTCCTAGCCATACCACTTCTTAGTTTAAAACCCTTAAATGGATCCCTTTATGTTATGCATAAAGTGTAAGCTCCTTAGCAGATTTCCAAGGTTCTCCATGATCTCTCTTCTGCCACCTTTCTAAGCTTATATTCTACTACTCTACCGTGTTCACTCTCCATCCCAGCCATCAGCTGCTTCATTGGTGCTCAAGCTCAGTAGGTGACAAACCAAGGTCTGCAAGCCAAATCTAGCCTGTGTCTGTTTGTATAGCCCAAAAGCTAAAAATGGGTTTTGCATTCAAAAATTAGAAAAAGAATGTATGTTACATGTGGAAATTATGTGAAACTCAAATTTGAGCATCATAAAGTTTTACTGAAAGACAGCCATGCTCATTTTGTCTCTATATTATGGATGGCTACTTTCCTTCTACAATAGCAGAGCTATAGTTATAAGACTTGATTTGTTATGACTATATGGACAACAAAATTTAAAATATTTACTATTTGGCCTCCCACAGAAAAAGCTTGCACACCCCTATTCTAGCTGCTTTGGGTATTTAAAGTTGGATGCAAATTTGCTTTCCATGTAATTAAGGGCAGCTCAGGGCTGGGGATTTAGCTCAGTGGTGCCACTGAGTTTGATCCCCAGTACCGAAAAAGAAGAAAAAAATTAAGGGCAGCTAAAAGAAACAAATCATTTTAGATTCACAGACCACAGAATTTTGGAGCTGGTTCAGTATTTAGAAGGGAAGAGTTAAGTCCCAGAGAGAGAAAGTTATTTGTCCCAGGAGGCATGGCAGAGTACTGGCAGAACCAAGACTAGAAACAAAGTCTTCTGACTGCTGGGGCAGGGTTCCAGCTAAACTGTTTTCAAATCTGTAAGTTGAGAGAGAAATCATGCAGAGTTAAGTTTTTCTACATTGATTCCTGAAGAATTCTACTCTGGACTTTTCCCTCTCGGACAGCCTTTCTGACAAACAAGGACAGAAGATTTCTAACCTGGCCACTATACCTGCTGAGTCACATCAAGTTTTATTACACATCGAAGTATTCATTACTGTGAGCTACAAATTCGGGATATTTGACAGTTTTATCCATTTTCATAGGGAGCCCTTGTAAATCATAGGAGAGATGAAAACAAATGACTGGTCTAGAGATGTCCTTTTCTCATTTATATTCTAACTTTGTTATAACTTGATAGCATCCTAACTTTGTTCTGTTCTCTTTTGTAAATAAATTCCCTTGGGTAAGGCTGAGGTTCCTGGATAAATAATCTTCATCAGATGCTAACAAATATAAAGTAGGATATCAAAAGAATTAACCATGATCAACTCTTAGATCTAAGCTGGTTAGCTGTGGGGTCAGAGCCTATGGCCATGCCCCCTCTCTACAGCCAAAGGCACTTGAAATAGGGGTTTGAAATGGTAGGGAGGAGAAGCCAAGATAGTTGGCACAGTGCACAGCCCACCAGTTTCATGGCTACTCTGAAAAAAAAAATTAAAGAACAAAAAAATGGAAGTTCTTAAGAGGCTCTCAAGCCTGACATTCAGGGAAACAGATCCCTGTGTGGCTAAAGCATCTAGGACCATTTCCCACTATCTGCATTAAAATCTACTACAAAATGTTTTTAAACATAGTGCCAAGCCTCATCAGTTGTTGTAAATTTACTTTATCTCAATTTTATCGGACTCTGAAGAGCTTTTGCTTCTGGACATGCCTGTCCCAAATCATAGTAAATCACTGTTTTCTTCATTGTGACTCAAAATCATGGGGACAAATTACCATTATATTCAATATAGTGTGCTTTAAGATACAAAGATAAGCTGGGAATGGTCATGCATGCCTGTAATTCCAGCACTCAGAAGGCTGAGGCAGGAGGATCACCTCGAGTTCGAGGCCAGCCTAGGCTACATAGTGAGTTTAGGGCCAGCCTGAACTACAAAGCAAGGGCCTGTCTCAACAAACAACCCAACAAACAAAAGGAATACAAAGATAAAAATCTATTTTAGGGAGATGACTATTCCAAGAGATTAAAACTTTTTAAAGCTGGCAGATAAAGGCCATCAACTCTATTGAAAAATTCAAGGTTCCTCTTTTTGAAAAGACCAAGTTTAGTGAAGCTTGTGTGAAGAATGGCTGACCCTTAATGTTTGCAGATTAAATCATTTAAGTTACCAACTCTTTGAGGTCGACCCATCATGGCACAGACACTGTGCTAAGGTGTGAACTGGAAATGCTTTACTGTAAGGCCAGCATGTGGGGAAGAGTCCATTATTTATGAATGAGAGAGTCTGGCCAGGTGTCTAGCCCCACTCCTGGCTCTACCTGTTGTCCTCTACTCTCCACACGTACAGTGACTCTCAGGTAGTGACACAAGCTTTATTCCTTTGTCAAAAGTGGCCGTCAAATCTTCATGAAAGTTGAAGAGGTAATTAGGTGGAAGTATGAGGATATGCATAGAAAAATATACGACTGCATGAGAATTTAATTAAGAAAACTAAGAATGCCCACAAAATTTTCTGTATTGTAAAGTTTAAGGTTTGGAGAACAGTTGTGGATGTGAATATGTTAGAGTCTGCTGGAGAATACATGGAGGCCCTATTTTGTTTCATCCCCATCTCTGGGGTTATGGACGAGGCCTAGGGTCTGCGCTACCCCAGCTCCCCCAGGACTGATCCAGCTCACTCAGATCAAGCTGGGTCTTTGGCATGAGTTCATAATGTCTGTAGTTCAGCTGGTTCAGTCTGCTACAGCTAGTTCTTAATCTCCGTGGTTCCCCACCCCTACTGGATCCAGATCTCCCCTCAAGCTCTTCCTCCTCTGATACTCTATTTAAACTCACTTTTCTGCATAGACTCCCTTGAACATGAATGATCTGTGGCATTTATTTCCCAGGACTATGTACCATGGCCATAGGTATCATCAATCTGCTACCACAATCACTGTCACTATCACTACCCACCACCGCTACAGTTATCATTGTCACCTCCACCCTCACCATCACCATCACCACCACCACAGCCACTACTCTTCCCAAGGGCCAAACGTGAAGCAATGGCCTGGCTGTAAAGGCTTAGAGAGTCCCTTCCCCAAAATTATACTCAGTAGGAAACCCCAAACTCATTACTTACAGGTGAACAGATGGGAACCCCAAACTCCCTACTTCCAACTTACTTCCAATAACTTAAAGTCTCCGTATTTCACACAGACTGTCTTGATGCCATTAAATGCAAGCCCCAGTTCCTTTAAGGCTGGAAATGTATGAAATGTCTCTACATGGGAAAGAGAAAGAATTAATCAGCAGCTCATAAAGGATTTAAGATATTAATAATGGCCGTTCACTGGGTCCCTACAGGGTCAGGCGAGGCACTGTGGGAAGGTGCTTTACATACATGACGTCTAAATCTCTGAGAACACTCAAAAATAGAATTATCAGAAGTAATGGAGGCTCAGCCAGACTACGTGACTTGCTAGAAATGGAACTGTTGGTAAGTGGAAGAAACAAGAATGAAATCTAAATTGGCCCAACTACAAAGCCCGTTAAAAATATTTTCTTTTTTTTTTTTTGTATTAAATTCTTTTATTGGTACATTGTAGGTATACAACAC